GGTCGTTATATTTTATGTATCTTTTCAGAAGCTTCTAACTTTAATTACGTTATATCATTTTTAGAGCGAAATTAATTGCAATGCGATTGGTATAAAAGTTTAGTGGACTTATGTTCTCTAACAGTAGGAGGCGGTACAATTCCCGTGTAAGTATGATGGACAAATGGACGTGGAGTAAGTACTAGTAAGTACTAGTAATACCTTTCGATGGTTCTTTATGGAACGGATGGCAAACGAAACGACGTATCACTTGATAAGGTAGGCGATCAGTGCCACCCATACACACTAGACACCTACAATGACCCAGAGAAGTCACAATGACATTGCCAACTTTTAAAAAAGCAGTGGGTGTCAGGAAGTCTCGCATAAAGCGCACAATGAGACCTCAATTCCTATGTTAGGTATAGAAATAAATAAATTAAAGAGGAGCCAAATTAAAAGTACCCTTAACCGACGAGCTTTCGCTTATTGAAAGGAAGAAAGAAAGAAAGAAAAAACATTTATTTAGCACCAGGCACGATGCAGCATAAATAAAAAAAGACAATCAAGATGTGACAGTGGAAGTAATAAAAATATAAGAGTTGAAAAATTGAAACAGAAGAATTAGAAAAGAGACGCTGACAACATGCCTATGCTAAAAGGGTATTGCGCATTACAGGGTTTCACGTACAACTACATATCCTGCTTCTCCACGGTCGACCAACGGCGGGTCAACCCTCGAACCCTGCGCCAGCATCTGGTCCTGGCGTTCGACGCGCAGGCTCTTAGCTCTGCAGCGGCCAGTGACGTCAGGGAGGTGTTAAACCAGTGAGGAGTTAATCGCTGTATAGGCTCTAACCCAATATTTTCTACCGACCCACATATACCGAGCTAATTACCAATCTTGTAATAAATGTTCCAGTTTTACTGTCTACCTGCTTTCATTTAATATCCTACTAGGAATACCCCTGCCTAGGTTAGGTAGGATAAAGTAGCGAAGCTGTAACCGTAGCACCGGGACAATGCATGAAAAGATTGATAACTGTTGATGAAGCGAAAGACGTTGGCGTTCCATAGTCTCTGCCTACCTCCATGGGAGACAGGCGTGAAGTTATGTATGTATGACGTATGTACAAATGAATAAAAAGATGTCTTGTTTTTTTACTAACATCCTTAACTTCACCTACAGTTTGGTACCTACCATAGAAATTTTACTCAATTTTCCTAGGAGCCTTTATTAAAGGTAACCACAGAGTAAACCTTTTAACCGTACAGTCTGACCTTGCGTACTTGCGTCTATTCAGAGCGACCTTGGAGAAGGGCACTCTGTCTACCCCGTGGATGTCCTTGACAGGCTCAGAATAATCTTGATATGAGTCTGGAGTACTTTTGTTTGGTAGTTTACTGAGCAAAGTGAAGAAAACCGCTAGGTTAAGAACAAAATGCCTTTTATAACTTTTATTCGCTTTTTACTCGACTGTAGAAAGGGTCACTTGTCACCAATTATGTTATGAGTCCCATGTAATGGAGGGTCAGCGAGTATATAAATAACGAATAGATCAACAAACAATTTACTTTAATATAGTAAACAAAACTTATGTCAAACGTCTATCATAATTTTATTATAAATAATCCGACCCCAAACTAGCCTTAAGCTTTCCACCACTATAACCGTTCGTACCTCAGAACGTCATTTAATGTACTGTTGTACATCAACATACAGATGGGTCCACTTCACCCAAGGTCATTCCCATCTGTCCATTGGTCAGCAAATGAGTGTCGGAGATGTGGACACCTTGGGGGCTACGAATATTGGTGTTTTTTTTTTACTAGGACCTTTTTTATATTTGATGGGGCGACGTTTGACCACTATCTCGCCTGGTGGTAAGCGATGATGCGGTCTACGATGGAGCACGTCGTCCCATAAGACCTCTAGAATTCAAGATATTCCAAGATTTCAAAGTGGTCTAGGATTTTTTTTAGGGGTAGAAAATCATCGAATATCTGCTTCCGCCTGGGTGAGGCGGGAGGGAGTGTCAGACTCTTACTGACTATAAACCACCCCGTTCCTTCTCCTGCACATCGAGCCGGAGCCCCGGTTACCCGTTAGGTTCTCCGCGACAAGTGGTCTAGGATAAGACCACTCCTAAGTTTTTTTCTAAACACACCAGTACCTCCCTATCCCTGGCTGCTGAATTGATTAACAGGTTATATTATGCTACCTCAGTATTTTCAAGTTAGAACCTATTCACATTGTCTTTTACTAAAAGAAATACTTATAATGCCTACCTAAAAAAATGTGATTCATCTGTACTCATCCCTAGTTCAAGGGCACCGCTGTACAGTGACGTCATCACAGTTCGTCATAATATTTGTTTGTTGAACATTTTCACTGATTTTTTGCTGTTCATACATAGCTAAATGGTGTTTGTTTTGTTTTCGTGAAGGGGTGAGATCAAGTATATTTTTGTGAATGTCTTTTGTTATCTCGTCAAACGGATGCGTAATTCATTAGTGAGATGGATACTTGATGCGTTGGTATAAAGTAAGATGTGTGTATAATTTTGTAGTAACATTCAATCATATTTTTGTCTAACATACATATGTGATTTATTTTAAACCTTTAGGGGGTTTGAAGAGTCCTTCGAGCGGAGTCCCACTTAAAAGTTAGTTAATTATACTAACTGCTGTTTCTATTGGTAATCAATTTTAAATATGGGAGGGCTAAGCTTTGGCACTAATGAGCCAGCTCGACCGGAGTGATATCACGGCCGAGCAGAAAACTGACGTGAAACAACGCTTGCGTGTGTTTCTTCGTGTGAATGAGGTTAGCGGAGGCCCTATGGCCCTATTGATCCGTCTGCTCGAAGTCTGCATTAATTAAAAACCAAGAAGAATACTTTTATGCATCCGGCTTCGATTCCCACACGAACCAATATTTGTATGATTCATAAATTGTACCTACTTCTAGGTGTGATCCTCACATAGAGGATAAAACATAATAATTAATAAAACAACTACTGAATATTCTCATAATTTTATTAGTCCGACACTAAATATCATACAATAAACATTATCAATTTGATCGCATTCCATTCGAGCCCGTTCATATACGCAATATGAAATCTTTGTAAAATAATATAAATCTATCATAATGGAATATATCGGTATAAAAATATTGTCGACTTGTATTGACGCTGAGACCCGCTGTCCCGCCGATATCTTCTTCATTCTTTTTATTCTGTAAAATAAAAGAAAAACATATTATTACTGAATTTCGGTCATACTGGTACGGGAAGTTTATTTAATTTAAATAAATTTGTTTTTATACTCTTATATTCACTATATTCACTCAGTACATCAGTAACCCGCAATTTTTAGTTAATTTCTCTCGATAGTTACTATAAAAACAAATTTATTTAAATTAAAATTATAAAAAACGAACTGTTTCATTGGTTGCTCGCTTGCTAGACGCGCAGGACGTGACTCTAAAATATAAAGGCGGGTCTACACATTGGGCCAACGTATTAGGTTAACGTGTATAGGCCAACTTGGCACTATGTTCGTAGTTGTAGCCAACATTGGCCGGCCAACCGAATGTTGTCGGTTTTTCATGCACACATCAATGGATCTTGGCGCGCTTCACAAACGGCGTTCACATATTTGCGTCTTGTTTAGTCTCATTCAGTTTGTTGTCATTTGTCAGTAAAGACATTATTGTTGCGCCGTCGCGCGTGAGTTGTTGTTCCCGAATTACAATGGTGTGGACGAACACAGATTTTACATTTTATTGAAATGTACAGAAAGAACATATACCATTCACCATATTGGCCCAATGTGTAGAACCGCCTTAACAGTTTTTTTTTTTAAATAGGGAGCAAACAAGCACACAGATCACCTGATAGTAAGCAATCAGCACTGCCCATGGCCTGCAGTAGTCAAGGTGCGTTCATTGACAATTAAAAAGGCATACGCTCTTATTTTGATGATCCAATAATCAATATAAACCAAGAATTAAAAAAGTAACAGGATGGTTAGCCGAGTTAGCTAGTATGAATGTTATAAAAGTCAATCATAGTTAAAACATTATTTCAATAAAACTCTACTTGTGAAACGCCAACAAATATAGGATGTAAACGGAACGCTACCGAAAAATCGACAGGTGATGTTCAAAAACAAAATTTATTTTCATAAAAGTAAGAAAATTTAATGTTTATTTACGTAATAATAGTTGTAATCAACCACTCAAGGCTAAGGCGGATGTTCCTTGAATGACATGTAAACAAAAACAATTAAAATGGGGTACTTGTACAACTAAACTAGTCAAATTCAATACTTTTTTCGAACTGTCAAAAACAACAGTTTTCCATAGAAGACTTGGGGGAAAAATTCATAAATTTTATACGAAATTGTGTATTGTGTATACTTATTTCTTAATAAAAATTTGCTGGAAATGCATTAAAATTAAGTTGTTCATAAAATCAATTAATGAAAGTGTGATTATTTTTTAATACTTTATAGTCGAAATAATTTAATTTGCATTCAAGCAAGTACCCAATTGTAAATAAATGTATTTTTGTCAGCGTTTTTCGAGTACATTCCATTTACACCCTGTATAGAATAGTCTGTAAGCGTCTGAAATTAGGTGCTTGTTCCAAAATGTAGATTCGAATGGAGAAGAACAAGAAAGAAACTCCACCGTTACCTTTTTTAAATATAATAAACTAGCTTTTACCCGCGGCTTCACTCGCGTCACAAAAGGATAAAAAGCCAATGTGACATATACCAAAACACACAGCGCCATCTATACCAATACTTTTGTTTTCCCTCGGGAATATCAATTTTTCCGTTAAAAAAAGTACCCTATTATTTAATCCGGACTTCTAACTATACATCTGCAAAAATTCAAAGCAATCGGCTTAGTAGTTACGGCGTTAAAGTGGAACAAACAAACAAACTCACTTTCCGATTTATAATATAAGTAAGGAAAGTAAGGATACTACTCACATATTTAATAAGTGTTAGCTCCCCATACTAGTAGAAGCACTCTTGCTCATCAGTTTGGCGACCATCTCCTGCACTCTCTTCATCTCCTCCAGCTGTGTCGTCAGCTGGTACAGTCTGTTCTCTCTCTCTAGTACCGTCTTCTCTAGTTGTTTTATTGTCTGTAAGAAAAATAATGGAGTTAAAGTCAATCATCTACATAAAAGTCAAAAGTTAAAGCATTTACTTCAATTAAACCATATTTTGGTACTTTTGAAATGTCAACAAATACAAAATAAATAATAGTCTGTCAGTCAGTCCATCAGTGAAGTTAGGTGCTCATTCCAAAATGTAGATTCGAATGGTGAAGAACGAGCAAGAAACTCCATTGGTTACTCTTTTTAAAAAAGTATGTTCTACAATGTCTCTGATACATAATATGTACAAAGTTGTAGTCAAGTACAAACAAAGTACAAAGTCAAGTAGTATAGTATACTAATAAATACAACTCTGTAGAGTGTTTGAATGCGCTAATCTGTGGAACTACTGGACCCTTGGTCGAGTAATGAAAGAATGAATAATACTTTTTGTGTTTGATAGTACATTTTTCTAGGAACGCTATAGGCTATATAACATCACGGTATGACCAATATGAGGAAGAAGTGGGTCTGTGAGTGTAACAAAGTCGTTTCAGAAAACAAAAAAAAAAATACTATCCAAGTGACGATATGTTATTTAAGAATTAAGACACATGATATTCATCCTGCCTCATTAGCCGAGTAGTCGCAAGTACGACTGCCGGGCAAGGGATCTCGGGTTCGATGCCCGAGTCGGACGAAGTATAATTAGTTTTTTTTTTAATCTCAGTAGTAGTTTGGAAATATACCCGGTATATGGCAATCACCCCCACATGGGACTAATAACATAAATAGTGAAAAGTAGTGGTTACATTGTACAGTGGCATTAAATGCCGTAATGTGCACCTCTACCTACCACTTCGGAGATAAAAGGCGTTATGTTATATTATGTGATATTCATCCTATACACTTTGGACAATTTAGATTCTAAGCAACATTGTAATGTTTTGATGAAAACTGCTAGAAGTTACTGATAAATGTTTTAGAAAATATAAAGAATGAACAATGTCGTGCGGCTCACTGAATCCAAAACTTATCCTTTTTACGACGAAGTAAAATTTTATTCAATGATTTTATAACCATACCGAACATATTTTACTACATCTACCAAAATTGATATTTTGACACAAAGTTGAAAAATAGGAGTAGTGTTGACACTTCAGGTGATCGAAGGGCTGGCTACTACCTTGGGCAAAGGTTAAGCATTGCCATACAACGTGGCAATGCTGCCAGTCTTTTGGGCACCCTACCTCACGATAGTGAGGAGGAATTTGAGGATTGTTGGGGGATTAGGGAGATTGGGAGTAATTGGGCCTCCGATAACCTCACTCACACGACGAAACACAACGCAAACGTTGTTATACGTCGGTTCTCTGTGAGGTCGTAGTATCACTCCTGTCTGGCCGGCCCATTCGCGCCGAAGCATGACTCTCTCACATTTTTTAACCGTGTAAAGCGAAGGCTGGCAGAAGTTGGTTATTGATGTAATTATTCATGAAACTAACAAAATAATTATAGAAAATCTTGTATAGCTACCGTACCTCACCTCTTTCTAATAATATTACATTTTATTAAATACAATACATACCATATCTCTATGATCAATTTCTTTCCGTAGCGACGCCTCGTTGCCGGCCGCGTCTTCTAATTTCTTGTCTCTCTGCTTCACTCGCTCCTCGAACTTTATGAGCACGCCCGCTAACTCACTGTTTTTACTTGTCTGAAAAAAAATAGTATCATTTTAATCCTTATCCTTACTAATATTATAAATCGGAAAGTGAGTTTGTTTGTTTGTTTGTTCCGACTTCACGCCGTGACTTCTAAACCGATTGCATTGAATTTTTGCAGACGTAAAGTTAGTAGTCTGGATTAAATAATAGGGTACTTTTTATCCCGAAAAAATTTGATATTCCCGAGGGAAAACAAAAGTATTGGTATAGATGGCGCTGTATGACGTAAAGTTAGTAGTCTGGATTAAATAATAGGGTAGCTTTTTATCCCGGAAAAAATTGATATTCTCGAGGGAAAACAAAAGTATTGGTATAGATGGCGCCGTATGTATTGGTATATGTCACATAGGCTACTTTTTATCCTTTTGTGACGCGAGCGACGCCGCGGGTAAAAGCTAGTTACTACATTAAGTAAATAGCATCAATGCCTCGTTGGTCAAGTTTGGTCACGAGTGCCATTGTCGAGTAAAGAATTCATAGTCGTGCAAAGTGTTATCAGGGATTTTTCACTTTTTTCTAAAGTTTCTTAGTAAACGGATTGTATTTGGAAGTGATTACATAACTAGTAAGATAAGGGCATAGAAGCAAACACTTGAAAAGTACCCAAAGAATTTTTTTAATGGGACAAGCCCGCCACAACCTTTCAAAACCGCAGCAACTCCTGTAAGCCAGGATCTACAGTGGATACTACCATGAAAACACCGGAACACTGAAGTCCGGCGCGTGTCAGGGACATGGATAACTCAGTTAAATAAATAAATCAGAAGATATTATCAAAATACATTATTAATAAATGAGGAGAAGAAAAAAACGATAGTTTCCACCTCCATCGGTGAATTACTGCCGGAGACAGATCGTTTCCACCTCCATCGGTGAATTACTGCAGGAGACAGAATGAATTAAGCTTAAAGGCACAAAAAGAAACTGTACAACTGGGAGAAGCCCAGTCACCAAGCACAAATATGTAAAATATGCCCAATGCTCTCCGCCCTGAAACACTGTACTATCACAATGGTATATTAAAATAATTTTTAATTTTTTTATGCACTTATCTCATCCGAAGTAGTGTATCCAACATTTATGACCAAAATATCGAAATTATAATTACGTAATAATATTTTAGTAACGTTTTCGTTAGATATATCTCACCTGTTGTTCTAATTTCTTCTGTAACGCCCTGTGTTCAACTTCAGACGTCTTCAGCCGCTCCTCAAACTCCTTCTCACGTAATTTCATTTCAGTCTCTAAAGTCTGAAATGATATCAAAAACAATTTTATTTGATGGAATCAATTATAACATGTATTATGTATGTGTTTGTACGAAAATATTAATGTTGAAGAATTTTTTTAGGCTTATTGAATTAGTAGTAAAATGCGCATCTGCATTGCAAGGATTTCATCGGAATTGATGGATCTAATCGGCGTGTATCTTAAAAAATAGTGAACTATTTAATTTTATATAAAAAAAAATTATATAATAATGTTCAGAATTAATAACAGAAACATCAACTGTTCAGATAACAAAGAATGAAAGTATTCGTTAAAATATCAAATACAAAGAAGTCAAAATTATCTATATATTTAATTTTACTTGATTGTATTGCCTCAAAATACATAATTACGAAAGAATACAAAATTATACGCACAGAATTATAGTTCAGAAATTCTTACAAGAAGACGTGAACATTAAACCGAATCCCATAAATGGAAGTCACTTGGCTTTTTTTTAAGTGGAGAAAATAATCGAATGACTGCTCCCGCCTAGGTGAGGCGGAAGGTAGTGTCAGACTCTTACTGACTAAAAACCACCCCGTTCCTTCTCCTGCACGTCGACCTGGAGCCCCGGTTACCCGTTAGGTTCTCCGCGACAAGTCACTTGGCTTAGGCGCGTGGTTTCATTAACTACAGACATTCTTACTATGTCGAGATAAACAAAAGTTTGACCGAAATAATATTTTGTTATCATACATACAGCCATTTGCGCTCGGAACTCCTTGTGTAGATTTTCCTTTTGATTTTCTTTATCTAGTTTCTCGGCGGCCAGTTTCGCTCGAAAACCACGCAACGTTGTCTCCGCATCTTCTAATTGCTTGTGCAAATCTTCTATCGTTTTCTTATGCCTAAAAAAAAAAAAAAAAAAACGTTAAATGTCAAAAATATTAAGAATAAATTCAAAATTACAGAAAAACTGTGAAGAATATTGTTTTAAAAAACTTATAAAATCCAAAAAAAATATCTAAAATTCCAAAAATAATTAAAAAAAATATCAACAATAATAGAAAAACAAAGTAAAATAGTATTAAAAAGAAGATTTGAAACGACAAAAAGAGACTGCATCGGCCGGGAATCGAACCCGGGCCGCCCGCGTGGCAGGCGAGCATTCTACCACTGAACCACCGATGCTGATACAATGTAGTCGAAATTAGTAGATAACATTCTAACGAAATAACAATTCTGTAGTGGCCATTCACCATTCACATAACTACAATTACTGTTCACATTATTTATAGTATGCGCAAGGCAAATATCACATTGATTGAACACGTTGTTCGAGTTATTTATAAGAGAATAATTATACATGTCCTACATATTGATAAGTACATGCTTACATGTTAGTAGGCAAACAGATTTTAAAGTAATAAAGAAAGTACTTTCACTACTAAAGAACATCTTTGTTCGTGATTCACGTTAAATTGAAATCTATATATATATATAAAAGAAAGTCGTGTTAGTTACACCACTTATAACTCAAGAACGGCAGAATAGATTTGGCTGAAAATTGGTAGGGAGGTAACTTAGAGCCAGGAGACCGACATAGGATCCTTTTTAACCAACTTTTTTTTTACTTTTTACCGAAAATCACGAACGGGGACGGGAAAAAATGGGATTACGCGTACGAAGTCGCGGGCAGAAGCTAGTTAACTATAAAAAAATATGATTGTGTATATATAATATGAATTGTCTCGGTAATTAGGATGCATATCGCAATTAAACTATTTCTTTTTAAATATGAAATGTGTGTGACCTCCATTTTCTTTATTCAAGGTCAACATTTTGACTAAGAGATCATGTACAACAAAGAGTTTCACTTTACTAACCTTTCATTCTGCATCTGTGTAGTGTATAGTACATCTTGTTGTGAAGAGTTGGTAGCTTGTAACATCGCTAGCGAGTGCTGTAATGACGCCATGTGTTCGCTGGCGCCCTGGTAATGTGAAACAGTAAAATACCTGTCAATATCTAATACTATACATTAAACTTTAACAAAGTAATTTATGATATTCCTGGCATTTTCTGCAGAATTTATCTTTGGTCTTATAGGGAAGCCCAAACCATTGTATTTATTTATTAACACTTCTGTATAACAAACATACAATGGCGGACTTAATGCCGGGTGGCATTCTCTAACAGTCAACCATGGGGTGATGCAGAGATGTGCAACAGTAGGTGTAATAGGTATAATGGTTTATGTGACACAGAAAAATCTATATAAATAAATTCATGACTATGCATAACTGTAAATACATACATATATCCGTATATATAGGTATAATATAAATTACATAACATAAATTGTACATTTGGTTTAAGCAAAGTACTACTACATTTTATTGACTTCTTTTTATTGAACATACTATTTTTTGACTGCACGGTTGGCGCGGTGGCTGGGCAACTGACTGCCGCGCAACATGTCGCGGGTTCGATTCCCGTACGGAACAACTCTCGGATCCACAGATTGTTGTTCCGGGTCTGGGTGTCATGTGTATGTGAACTTGTATGTTTGTTTGTAACCGCACCCACGACACAGGAGAAAATCCTAGTGAGGGGCAATGGTTATTTAAATAAAATAATGAAATATTGGATTACCTGTAAAGCTACCGAGTGAGAATGTAGCCTCTGTTCTAAGCAAGTCATCTTATAGCCATACAACTCCATCACACTCGAAGTGGCGATGTCTGATACCTGGAAAAACAATTATTTGCATTATTATGGCCGAGATGTCATTAATATAGACCAGTGAATGGAGTTTTTAGAGGAGAGCGATCATTAAAACATAACAATAAGTTATAAGATAACATCACGCCTGTTATCCGCGAAGGAGTAGGCAAAAGTGCACATTTCGGCCCTTAATGCCACTGTACAATGTAACACACACTTTTCACTATTTTTTATGTCATGACTTCCATGTAATAGGGGCTGAGCCTATTGCCATATACCGGGCAATTCCAGACTCCGTGCTACTACTGAGAATTTTTATTTAAAAACCCAGTAATACTTTGCCTTTGTGAAAAGTGGGTGTTACATTGTACAGTGGTATAATGTGCACCTCTGCCTACCCCTTCGGGGATAAAAGGCGTGATGTTATGTTATGTCTCTTTCACGCAAACTACACAGACTATTATAAAGCCAGTATCTCACCTTCCCCTCCCTCAGCTTGTCGCCGAGCTTGCCGACGAGTGCGTCTACAGCGTGTTCCTGCGCGGGCGCGAGGCGGCCGCACCACGCGCCCTCCGCGCACCCTGTAGCACTGCTCGACGCTGTCACGTCCGTCGTAGACTCCGATATACCGTGGAGGGACTCGCCAAATACCTATAAACAAAACTATATGAAAGTAGCCCAATTACCCCCCCCCCCCCCCCCCAGTCTCCCCAGTCTCCTTAATCCACGAATCCACCACAATCCTCAATTTTTTTTTAGAAACGTTTATTTATTTATTTAAGGAAAAACAAACAGTAACATATTACAAAATATACATAATTCAGCTTACACATTATACTTGGCAAATATGTTACCCACTACGTTCTCCACAGATTACTTTTTATATTAGATCTAGAGTGACACAAATATAGTTGCCCCACACTAGGCTTATCTTCTGTGTCGTGGGTGCGTTTACAAACATACAAGTTCACATACACATGACACCCAGACCCGGAACAACAATTTGTGGATCACACAAAGTGTTGCTCCGTGCGGGAATCGAACCCGCGACACGTTGCACGGCAGCCAGTTGCCCAGCCACCGCACCAACCGTGCAGTCTGAAATTCGCAATTTCCAAAAGGCCGATAACGCACTTGTAACGACTTGGTATTTCAGGTGTCTATGGGCTACGGCGATTGCTTACCATCAGGTGATCCGTCTGCTCATTTACCGGTTTATACCATAAAAAGTTAGAATCATTAATTAATAGATATTTAGACATAAAATTACTGATTTGTCCCAATTTGAGAAAGGGAAGATCACATAGGATCATTTGTTATTTATCTATTTACATAATTAACTCTTTGGGTACCGTCATTATAGACACAATTAAAGAACAATAGGTTGCGGTCACCGGTGTCCGCTCGGTGTTTGACAGTTTAATGACAATGGTTGGCGACATGACAACCAAATTACACTAACATTATACAAATACAAAACAACACACATTATAATAATAAAAATTTACAAATCTTTGCATACTTTCCTATTTTTTTAAATCAAGTCTTCCGACAGTTCCTAAGTTTTTATATTATGATGTCGCAGCTGCAACCACTTATTCAAATATAAATTTAGATAGCTACATATTACAGTCACTATGTAAATATACCTGATTCATTTGGTCGGACGGGAAGTAATGGTGTTTGACTAGCTGCAGTATCTGTCGCCGCCTGGGCCCGTTGGTGCTTGTTAGACCGACGCACAGGAGTTTTCGAACCTGTAAACATTCATGTAAGCACAATAAAGTAAGTCTTTTCAATTGATTGTTTTAGTACAAGATTCCACTTTATTTCTAAATCAAGAACTACTGGATTAACTAAAAATCGTGGGTTACTTACGTGAAAATAATGATAAAAGTTCCACTAGTTTCGAACCACAGAGGGGCTCTTCCTCATGTATCAGTATCAAACAATCAGTAGTCAGCAGGCTGCGCGACATCGCCGCGACGACGCTGCTCATGAGGAAGAACCCCTCTGTGGTTCGAAACTAGTAGAGCTTTTCTCAGTAATTTCACGTGAATAACCCGCGATTTTTAGTTAATTTAGTATGTCTCACGATAATTATTATTAACTACTTGATTTTTGTATTTCAATATTTACAGATATAGCAAAGAATTTATCTTCAGAAGACAGACATTAGGGCTATCCGAAAAGCTTTTTCAACTGTGTTTTTCAACCCGCCAATCAAGCATAGAGTTTATGGCCAATCCTCTTATGTAGAACCTCTGTTATTGTATTGTCATAATCTAGTTTGTATCATTTGAGCCTTGATGAATAAAATAACTGAAGAATATGTATAACCTGATGGTGGGCGAGCATCCGTGCGAGCGCGGCCTCCCAGTGCGTGTCGAGCGGCGCCAGCGACAGCGCCGTGCGGCACCCCACCACCACGGCCTGCTGGGACGCCTCCGCGCCTACTACTCCGTTCTGAGATATGGTAAAATAAAATGTATCACAATAGATAATATGGGATTCATATCAATTATTTGAGACTAGCTTTTACCCGCAGCTTCGATCGCGTCATAAAAGGATAAAAAGCCAATGTGACATATACCAATACACACAGCGCCATCTATACCAATACTTTTGTTTTCCCTCGGGAATATCAAATTTTTCCGGCATAAAAAGTACCCTATTATTTAATCCGAACTTCTAACTATATACATCTGCAAAAATTCAAAGCAATCGGTTTAGTAGTTACGGCGTTAAAGTGGAACAAACAAACAAACTCACTTTCCGATTTATAATATAAGTAAGAAAGTAAGGATGGGCCGGTAAACGAAAAGACGGATCACCTGATGGTGAGCAATCGGCGCCGCCCATGGATACTCTTTTTGAGGATGGTAAATAGGATTGGGCTATCAACAACCTCACTTAGACGGGAAAACACAATGCTTTGTTTGTTTCATGCCAGTTTTCTGTGTGGCCAGCACGGTGGTACATATTTCTCCATGTTATTTTCTGGTCAACCCAGCCCATTCGCACCGAAACATTGGTATACAATAAGATATATTAGCACATTACCTGTGACGTATATTGTAGTACGCTGTACAGAGTATCTTCGAATGCGTCCGGAGTTACTTCTTGTAGTACTCGCTCCTGTGTCTCAACTGATTCACAAAGTGCTCCGACCACTTGGAGCTGTAATTAAATAATCATAATATAATATTCCGACACTATATTCCGAATAACTTTTTTGTATATATATTTGATGGGGCGGGGCGACATTTGACCTCTATCGCGCCTGGTGGTAAGCGATGATGCGGTCTACGATGGAGCACGTCGTCCCATAAGCAAACTATTCACTCGGGCCTAGAAGACTCCCAGGTTAAATAGGCATAATTAACTTCTGGTAGAGGTTTCGCCCGCGTTCCCGTAAAATAAAAAATGGTCTATGTGTTAATTGAAACTATAATCTACCCCTGTTCCAAATTTTATTCCAGTCCCTGCAGCCGTTATGACGTGAAAGACAAACAAATAAACACACACACACAGAGACACATACATCCTCACAAAATTTCACATTTATAATTTTTGTAGGAAGTAGGATTAGCAAGATATTCCTTTCTTACGTGAATATGAACTTAACAATCAACTCACCCACTGCACGCCTGCCTTCCCTGGTTCTAAAGCGGGTGGTACCAGTAACCCAGGTAGACCATCACTGATTACTGATATTAGTTCTTGCGGTAGACGACCTTCATCTGGAAAATCATGGATTTTGAATAGAGAACTTTGTGTGAAATATATCAACGAAACGTCTTTCAAGAATTTTTATTAATAGGAGGATATTTTTTATGAATAGGAGGCAAACGAGCAGTCGGATCACCTGATGGTAAGATATCAGCGCCGCCTATGGACACCACCCACAACACGAAAGGAGTCACAGTTGCATTGTCAGCCTTTTAAAAAGGAATACGATCTTTTCTTGAAGGTTTGAAGATCGTATCGGTTCGGAAATCCCGAAATATTAGTATGGGAAAAAATATTGTACTGAATTGAATAAAAGTTGACACTACTATTTTAGGCAATAGTCATGATGGCAGAAAAGTAACCTACTCCATATCTATACTGCTGAACGTCTTCAAACGATTTTCTACTTTATAGCAAAAGATATTAATTTGTATTTACCTCTATACTGTGACACGATAGCAGCAAATAGCTCGAGCGACTCTGGCAGACAGGTGCGACTAGCTTTCATACATAGAACGACTAAAGCACTGTGGTGACATCTCAAGGAATACAAATCTGCAATAGTAATATAAAGAAAGACATTAAAACATGTTTTAGGCTACATCACCACAGTATAAACATATACAGTAGGTTGTCTAAGGCCGCCCGCCGAGTTATTAGCCTACTCTTGCGTTGATCCCCAGGGTTGTCACTTTTACTTTTAGTTAATATTTTCGAACAAGCAGCACTTGATCTAAATTTATGAAATGAAAAGCATATTATGATTGAATATTTTATCAATTTATAAATTTAGTTAAAATAAAAAGCTTATAAAAAGATTATTAACTTCTTAAAATAAACTTTAGCTCTACATAGTATTCAGAAAGTAAATTTGGGAATACATGTATATGGAAAAATGCGACTCGCCTACGTTCTTAACAAATCAGATAAACTGTGAAATAAACAATACAATACCACATTTTCTTATAATATTTAAGTATAGTAGGTAATTACATTTCTGGTTGAGTAGGAACTATGAAGAATGATAAGAGTAAGAATAAGTAAGTAGGTATCTCATCATCAAGTACCTACAAATTATATTATGCTAGAAAAAGTGACTAGCTTACCTTTCCTGTTCAATAGGTACCTAATCTGAACAGAGACAGTTCTGAAATCAATTAATTATTAAGACACCCAAACACACAGCAATACGTTCTTCTACGATTATCAGACATTTTTTATTTCATTGAACAGTGCCGAAAAGCCGTGAAGCGCGCGCCAACCTCGTGCAGTGTTAGCCCTGCCTGGCGCACTGAGAAACGGGTCGAGATTTTGTTAAAGTGTGCGTGCGTCGACGCATAGATACTATGGCGCACACATATAAGCCGCGCGCGGAGCATTTGTATGAAGATAACCTACTTTGTTCTTTATACTATGACATCACAGTCCTGCCTGTTCCAATCACACAAATATTATAAATGTGAAATATTCTTTGATTGGATGTTTTCCGTCAAACACTTTGAAACTAGTGAACGGATTTTGATGAAATTTGGTATACAGGCAGGGTATGGGCTGACTTAGGTGATAGGATATTTTTATCCTGATTAAGCCTTTAACTGCCGACAAAAACTGTTAAAGGCTAATCCTCCGCTAGCGTCGGACATCATTGTCCGACATCGCATCCAATGTGTTAAATGCTCCCATGGGATAAAACAGGAATACGCGAGTAAAGCCGAGGGTAAAAGTTAGTAATTTATATTTTTAGTGTCCCTCAGTTTTCATTATAAGGACAAAATCAAAGTCCAGTCTTATTCTTAGATTTCGGGAACAAATGGAAAAGATATGGCAGACCTGAAGAAGTCTATTTCTAGTAAATTATTTCCCCAAGCTGAAAATATTGTTCATTGATAAATAGTGAATTGCCATCATGGTGTAATACACACCTAAGCTAACTAAAACAGTTAGAAATTTCAGCACATTGCGGAGACAGTTGACAGTATTCTCTGGCTCGCCCATATCGTCCGGTGCTGCTAGACATAGCTCTTGAACATCCTGGAATATATTGCATAATATTATTAAACAAGATGCCGACAGTGACGTTCTGTTTGCGAGATTTTAGTGCAATTTGCATCAGTTGATAGATTGATTCTTAAATACGATTAAGGTTATAATTTTTGATAGATTGATTCGATTATCGTAGGCGGAATTAATACATGAATTAAATAAACTTTTACCAAGGAAAAAGTTCTAAATACCTGAGGTATAAGGCTAGCCTAACAAGTATCATTAAAAAAAAAGACTATACTAATTACGATATTAGTTTTTACCTTCAGTGCTTCTTCAAGCGCGCTAACAAAGTGTGGGTAGGAAAGCACGTAGCTCCTCAAGTTGCTGTCTGAACACAGGTCATTGACAAACGTGTACGCGTGGAGGAGTTGCGTCGCGTCGCCTTCACTGAAACATATATTTATTGTTCATTATAGTTACTGCCTGTCTTATTCATCATCATCATCATCATATCAGCCATAGGACGTCCATAACTGAACATAGGCCTCCCCCAACGTCTCCTAACGACCCTCCAGATAGCCTGGTTGGAAGCGACCTGCATCCAGTGTCTCCCTGCGACCTTAATCAGTGGTCGATAATGTAGATGGACATCCTACACTGCGCTTACCGGTACGTGGCCTCCACTCGAGAACTTTACTGCCCCAGCCGTCGGTTCTCCGCGCTATGTGACCTTGTCCCCCGCAATGGATTGTTTTATTGGTAGAATAATAATCGTCAATGTGTTTAACATGCACAAAATCTCGATAATGGTAATTTAAGTTTTTAATTTCGAGATTTTTCGTAATTAATAATCTAGTATTTGTAACTGCTTTTATTACATTGGGCCAAAGTTAATGTGAAAATTGTGTGATCTATCTGGGTTATCATGCATGAATATTAAAACTGAATACATTTGTAGCACAGATTGTGTTCATATGTGCGAAGTTATCCTTACTATATATATATTAATTAATAATTAATTAATTAATATTATAAATCGAAAAGTGAGATTGTTTGTTTGTTCCGCTTTCACGCCGTAACTACTAAACCGATTGCTTTGAATTTTTGCAGACGCAAAGTTTGAAGTCCGGATTAAATAATAGGGTACTTCTTTTTATCTCGGAAAAATTTATATTCCCGATTGAAAACAAAAGTGTTGGTATAGATGGCGCTGTGTGTATTGGTATATGTCACATAGGCTACTTTTTATCCTTTTGTGACGCGAGCGAAGCCGCGGGTGAAAGCTAGTCACTGATAAGACTAGCCATTGCTCCGCTAAGCATGTAACATAGACAAGCCAATCTTTCCTTAACATAGGTCATAATCAGTATCAACATACCTGACGGCTTTGTTAAATGTCCGCATAGTACAACACAAGTAGCTGTGGACGTCGGGCTGGCGAGTGGACGCCGCGCCACGGGTCGCGCCCGACAGACACAGCAACAAACGACAGACTTCTACTCCGCCGTAACCACCTTCCTGGAATTGAGAATATTATAATGCACTAGATGTAGAAAATTATGAGTAAGTAATTTTGTAAAATATGATATCACACTAATATTATAAATAGGTATGAAAGTTTCTTTGTATGGATGTTTGTCTGTCCATCATGCTAAAACTACTAAAATTTGGTATACAGACAAGGTATGAGCTGAATTAGGTGATAGAAATGATAGGATACTTTATACCCTGATTAACTGTTCCCATGGGATAAAACAGGTTCAGAATATTTAATTAAACCTCAAATAATATGTTCCTATATGCAAAGTGTAACGCAATCAAAAATAAATGAATGGAATGAATTAACTAGGTACCTATGTCTTTCAGGATTAACTAATTACAAAATTGTAATATGTATAGTGAAAAAACTACATTGAATTCAGACACAGTCAATGTTTCTACTACAACGTGAAATTAATTATTGATAGTAAATTTTACATTGCATAATAGTATTACCTTCAAACTAATAAGATGTACCACAAAATCCTTAGTATCAACAGTCCTCATTAAGGCATATATTGCGGGCAGATTCCCATAGCACACATTGACCAATACTGTAAGAGACTTGTGACCGATGGTACGAAGTTGTGGCTCGGTCATCGGCTGTGTTATCCATTCCGTTAGCTGTTTCATTAAACTGCTTAGATAGGACTCTTGCCAACTGATTTTGATACCGTAGGATATTTCCTGTGAAATTAAAATAAGAAATTAATCTATATATTTTTTTAATTTAAATAAATAAATTATTTTATAAAATTTTATTATAATATCTTTTATAAAATGGTCATCGAGGTCCAGAGGCTTAAGATACCCGCTTCTCATGCACTTGGTGAGGCAACTTGGTCTTATTATAATCACTAATTATAAGTTTGAATTGAGCAAGCGTGGTGATTAATGTGCAAACCTTCTCCATTAGAGAAGAGGCTTTTGGTCAGAAGTGGCCACTTATAGGCTGTTGATGATGAAATTAATTATTTATTGAAAAAATAATAATAATAATAATAAGTTACCAAAACAGTATATTTGATAGATATGTTACCAAAACAGTATATTTGATAGATATTGCCATCCCAAACTCACATAACATCCAATCTACTATTTCTGAAAAATTAAGTAAGTATCAAGATCTCGCCATAGAAATCAAAACGCAGTGGAGAGCACAAACAGTTCACATTGTCCCCATCGTCCTCTCAACCACTGGTATCGTACCTAAGTCCCTCACACAAAGCCTCAATACTCTCCACATGCCTACCTACGCTCTCCACACACTCCAAAAAGCAACCATTCTCAACACTTGCCGCATTACTAGAAAATTCCTCACATCATCTACTCTATCATCCACCTTTTCTATATAACCTTCCCCTTATACACTTGGCTCCGGCCCGTGTACAAGGTTCTTATACTCTCTTACGAGAAGAAAATTAAAATGTCTTTGAAATAATAATAATAATAATATACTTTATTGTACACCACACAATCACATTATAGGATAAATATTAACAAAAATAGTGTACAATGGGCGGTCTTATCGCACAAGGCGATTTCTTACAGACAACCTTTGGATGGAGCAGTAATAGGAGTCTGATATGGGTCGTCAAGTGTACAATAATTAATAACTTTATAAAGTACTATACACAGAATACAAAAATACAACTACAACTCAAAAAAAAATAAATAAAATAAATAAAAATAAAATAATACCTATACAATATACAATATACAATATGATACATAAATTACATAATGGTGTGTATTTGTGCATGTGTGTGTATGTGTGTGTATGTGTGTGTGTGGTTAAGATAGGATATAAAATTATAAAGAGAGGAAATGCTCTTTAACAAGTTTTTTAAATTGCGATATGGATTGAGCTCGCCTCGCTGCAATCGGTAAAGCATTCCACAACCGAGCTGCTTGCACTGTAAAGGACTTGTCTAAAAAGGAAGTGGAATGCAAACAAATACTCAATTTCAGACTCTCCGATGATCTCAAAAACTTCGAATGTGTATCGCCAAGGTACGTAAAACGTTCTTTTAGATAGGTAGGGGTAGTGGGATTAAAAAGTATATTGTAAAGAAGTGAAAGAATATGAGTATTCCGGCGAAGGCGAATAGGCAGCCATTTGAGCTTGTTGCGGAACTCAGAGACGTGGTCATACTTGCGCAATCCAAATATGAACCTAATGGAAAGATTTTGAAGTCGCTCAAGCTTGTCTAATTGTTCTTGGGTGAGATCAAGATAGCTGGCATCAGCATAGTCGAGAATTGGTAGAAGTAGGGATTGTGCTAATGCAATTTTAGTAGCAGTGGGTAAGAAATTCCGTAAACGCCTCAGGGCGCCCGCCGAGGCAAACACCCTGCGGCTGACCTCCTGCACCTGTTTAGACCAGGACAGAGTACTATCAATGTAAATCCCCAAGTTCTTGACTTCACAGGAAAAAGGAATCTTTGTTTTAAGTAGACATACTTGGGGAAGAGTAGACCAGTCTATTTTAGAGACAGTCCTTGAGCTGCCGACAACCATCACTTGTGTTTTTGATGGATTAATATGTAGCCCGAACTTCATGCTCCAGTCACTAATTCGTGCCATATCACGGTTGATCAGCGCAATAGCATCAGGTAACTCATGCAGTGAAGCATTTGTGTAGATCTGTAGATCATCGGCATAAAGGTGGAAGGAAGAAGAGAGTTCATTAGAGATAGAGTTGATAAATAGCGCAAAGAGTAAAGGGGATAGAACACCACCCTGCGGCACACCGGAAGCAGTACAACACCATGAAGAATAACGATCCTCACAATGAATACGCTGCCGGCGACCAAATAGGTAGCTGCGAAACCAGTCAATTACCGATGGGGATACGTTAAGAGAGCTGAGTACGGCAAGCAAAATGTCGAAGTCAACGGTATTAAATGCGTTACTAAAATCGAGCAGGACAAGTACCGTCAACTTCCCCATCTCCATGCTCGACCTAATGTCATCGGTAATGTTTACGAGAGCCGTGGTAGTGCTGTGACCCTAAATGAATACTTACTTGCATAACTGTTAAAAGTTTAACTTTCTTGTCATTAGATATGGAGTCAGATAATAATCTTGCCAAGATTGGCATAAACCTGAAAAGTTAGATAAAATCCATTTTAAAAGTGTAATTTATAACTGAAATTGTGTCTTTTGAAATGACAACTTGAATTATCATTGAAGCTAAGTGCTTGTTCCAAAGTTTAGTTTAAAATGTAGAAGGTCAAGCAAAAGTTCCATGTTTTGTAGTGTACACCACTATGTATGCTCCTACACAAACAGCCCTGTCCAATTTTACATGCAATGATATAAATCAAAACTTACTTATAAGTATGTGTAAGTGCATGTCTAGCACTAGGTTCTATGGCAGCTCTGGCCAGGACAGCAACGCCAGCCCAGTGAGGACCACGACCATCACACATCACACGCCATAGAGAACTGAAGAATGCACACACTTCTGAACGCCCTGGAGAGAATATTGATAAGTCGCATGATGAGGCTATTAGCTGTAAACAAAATAATGTTGTGAGGATCATGAAATACAATCTCATTGGTTAATTATAAGGATGTTACTGGTTTATACTGGATACTGGCTCATTATATTTTTGTTATGAGAAAAGTACAGCTTGTGTTGTATAATTTAACTTATGGTTAACGCAGATGTTTAGAAGACTTATTAGAGAAAGGTTTCTATTGAATCTTTAATAGTTTTCAAGTTATATATAGGTACGGTGTGATGTTGAAATAGGTGAACACTTGTACTTACTCCAAGATATCGTGTCATCAAATTCACAGCGGACTCACTATGTGTCGCTTCGAATTCCCGTGCAGCAGTCACAAACGCCTTCAAATTAGAAAACTTTCCACCTTCAGATGGATTACTTAAATTTTCAATCCCGTCGACTTCCATATCCATTACAAACAATACACCAGCTTTTAGTAAAGAAAAACAATTTGCGTCTTAGTGAGACTTTAAAACTGAATTTATACTACAAACAAACAATTCACTTGCCAATAATTCAAAATTATATCAATATAAAATGATAAAAAAGTTAAAACACTCCTACTTTCACCGTAAAATTCAATTTCAACTGTTTTCTATGTCAATAGGGGGGCGACCGACATTTTGGATGTTTATAAATTAGACAGATATGATTGGTCGAACGATACCATAAACAATATAGTTTTCAAAAGAACGAAAATCATACTGATATTCTCGTACATATTTGTGATTAAATCTCATTTATTTGTTAATGACTCTGCGATTCATATTTAGATAAATGGGATCAGAAAACTAACATTTTTCGTTTTTTCAGGTTTAATAATAATGAAAATAGAAGGCACATCAAAAAACTGTCCTATAAAGCTACATTGTGCTGTTGTGCACGATCGAAGATTTTTAGTAACATTATCGTGAATAACATTCTAATTTACAAAAAGCCAAGCATCCAAAGCAAAGACATGAAAATTAAAAACGAGGAAAAGGAAAAAAAATAAAGCATTGACGAGTTTTGACGTTTATTACCGTGCTACCTATTGTTATTGTTTCCAGAAGTTGATTTTACGACAAAATATTGCTGAAAATCTATTTCTGTAAACATATTTCTTCTAAACTAACATGGGGGTAGATGTAGAAACCATTACAGCTGGAGATGGTTCGTGTTTGATCGAAATCTTTGCCACCGTATTCTATAACCTCTAAAATTTTCTTTTTGTAATTATAATATTTTTTCAGGGGTTACTTTTCCTAAGCCTGGTCAAACTGTGGTGGTGCACTACACTGGAACACTAGAAAATGGTACAAAGTTTGATTCGTCGAGAGATAGGGGACAGCCATTCAAGTTTACGTTAGGAAGGGGCGATGTTATTCTAGGATGGGACCAAGGAATCTGCAGGGTAAGTAAAGGCATTAATATTACTTTCTGTAATATTCACAACCTTCATAATATCACATTCAGTAGGTACATGCAGCCAAAGATAAAATTATTGTGGGAATACTCAGTCCTACCCTAATCTTTTGTAAAAAGAAATACCGGTATTTTTATTTACGTCATTCTGTTTATTTAATCTTCAAAAATTAAAGACCAATTCTTATAAAAATGGATTGAAAATATTATGATACGTATTTTTTTTTCTTTAGGTTGCCCCACACTAGATCTTTCTTCTGTGTCGTGGGAGCGTTAACAAATATACAATTTCACATACACATTACACCCAGAACCAGAACAACAATCTATGGATCACACAAAGAGTTGTTCTGTGCGGGAATCGAACCCGCAACATGTTGCTCGGCAACCGGTTACCCAGCCACCGAAACAACTGTGCAGTCATTCCGATTTATTTTAGAACACTTCGAACAATTCAAAATTTCGCTTTCTTATCTATTGGAGAATAAGGTTCTTATTAGAACAGTATAAAAAAATTGATTAACACAACTACTTCTAAAAATATTTGTTTATTGATACTGAAGCAGTTATACAATGTTTGTCTTGCTATATTTATTTAGAACTAACTTTTGCCAGTGACTTCACTTTATTATTTATTTATTTTTGATTAAGGAACATACCTAGTTGTTTTTTGGCTGGTATTACATAACATATGGCTTTGTTAAAAACCATACCTATAATTTGGTACAATAATAGCTTCAATCTCCGTACCAAGTCGAATTTTGATTTTCTTAACTTTATACTGAATAAATTGGCTGTTTGTCAAGTACTAAGAAAAAATTGTATTCTTTTCCAGATGTCTGTAGGTGAGCGAGCTAAGTTGGTTTGTTCCCCAGACTATGCCTATGGGTCTAGAGGTCACCCAGGCATTATTCCTCCAAACGCTACCCTAATATTCGATGTCGAGCTAATACGTGTTGAATAATTGTTATGAACAATTACTATGCACTACGGAAATACTCAAATGAAACTCAATTGTTACTAGAAATATTGTTTTGGCAGTAATAATTTTTATATATAGACTTTGTGGTTCGGTACAGATATTCAAGTTAAAGTTAATTTTACAACATAAGTTGGAGTCGTCTATATTTGTATTATTAATTTTTAAATATAAAACTAATAAATATTTGTAACTTTACAGTTTCATATAAGTACATAAAATTGACAATGGAAACATGAAGTAATATTTGAGTATTTCACACATAAAATAAATGTTAATAATTATTGTCATTAAATGTTTATAATATAATTATTTAAAACAGCATTAGGTTTGTGACTTACATGTGATGTTATTGAATACTCCGCTTTAAGTGTAGTTTGCTAGAGTTCATTTTATAACAGGAAACATGATCATGGATAAGAAGACTTGTATTAATTAAGGATTGTATTGGCATAATGAAGGTGAATAGAAAGTCATGTAAACTATTTTCAAGTTGATGATAATCGGTCATGCAAAAATGGGTCTTGTGAAAATCTATGAGAAAGACCATGTATGTGAATTAGCACATATTTTCATATTTTGATGGACAAGTACTGATGATTTATAATCGTAACAGACTATAGTGTTCAAATGCTCTAAAATCTTAAAATACCTAGAAATAATATTTAAAACTTTAAATTGAATAGTATTTTGGTGTTCAGGAGTAAATACACTAGATAATATGAAATGAAGGCGATTAAATTGATAAGAATTCCAAATTACAGATTTTGCAAGTGAAAACAGGTTGACTCTGAATTAAATAATGATTGGGAGTGATATAATAATCTAATTATGAATATAAGTGGTAAACATACTATGTTTACCAGAAGAACAGCTAATTAGACCTCTTTAATAGATAAAGAGTATAAGCTTCGACCATGTTTGCTGTGATGGTGTTAAATTCACAAACATTTTGTATTATGATTGTAATGATTAAAATTAATGGAATTTTTTGATATAAGTACAGATACCAGCTGATGAACAGACCTCAAATCGTTCTATGAGGTACAATAAAAAAAAAACATGTCTTACTTAGATATATTTTTGGGCAAACCACCGGTTAACCTTTGCACTATGCTGCTTATTATAATACTTTAAATATACCTTTACTTCTGAACATTTGAGAACCATTCACTTGTCCAGAGGTTTCGTTACCTACCGAAGACATTTCTTGTTGAACAGAAACAAGTTTTTGACTTCCGCTTTATTTTGTGAAAACAGAAAAAACTAAAAAGCCAATCATTGGTTTTGTAGCGGATTTTCAATGTAATTTCTAAAGTACCTATGTAGTTGAAAGATGTTTAAAGTAATTTGACAGTGTCCGGTAACTTTTTAAACTGGTATCTGTACTTATTATATTGTTGTAACTACTTGTACCTAATTGTAATTTTTTTGTGCTTAGCTTCCTAATAGTGTTGCTAGTGGTTTAATTTGACCCATAGATCATAGTGGTATGCCATAAAAACTTCTTAGATTATAAAATGAGCTTTGATCTTTTTTTGTAGTCTGTGCATAAGTGTAATCTTTTCTATGCTCTATAGTTTTACTTGAATGAGCTTGTTAGCACAAAGTATAGGATTTGTATATAATTTTAAAAATTATTTCATCCAGTGTCTGCTTTGCTGAAATTGTTATCTTAATTTTATAAATCATTATTGTATTATGTAATAAAAGATTTTATTTAATTGGGAATTGTTTAATTATTTTATAAGTCTGCCCGCAGCCCTTTCCATCACCATTGACACTTACTAATTACTATACTTAAAAATCATTATCACAGGTATAAGAATAATATACAAGAGGTTAAAAAAAATATGTTTTAAGATTATAACTCTGAATAAAAGAAACCTTTACAATTCTTTGGCAAATATTGTAATTATGACTAATTAGGAAACTACAATAAATATTGGCTTTGACACCAATTCTGTGTGGCAACATAAAAAAAAATAAGACAGTCAATTGATGAAATATAATGTACAGAAAAAATCTTAATGCATTGCTTTTATATTGATTTTCTCCTAAATGAAAATAATAGCCAGTCTCATGAACTCTCAGGAAAATAATTCATTAATGGAACCACACAGTTTTTAGTGAAGGGTGTGCGGCATAATGCACAGGTTTCCAGTGCCCCATACGAGCATTGTAAACAAAATATATGTCCACAGGGTAACACACAAGGCTGAATGATTTCTTCCAAGCAGGCCACACATGACTTGCTACTGTCTACTTCATTTGGTACTTCTCTCATTTGATCCATATGGGCTTTAGCTCTGTACAAACTCTGGCCACAAGAAACTAATGCATGCAACAGAGTTACGACACCAAGGAGTCTTAAATGAGCATAGTAAGCAGCCGCAGCAGGTCTAACATGCACATAGTCTATGCCAGTCACAGTCTTTCCTATCTGTAAAGGCCCACCACTGATATACGCAATCCCGCGATGAATATTCTGAATCTGAGGTAATATACTGCTCAAAGTTTTGAATGTAATCAAAAATACGTTCTGTGCTTCTACTGTTAGTGACGGATCTTGTTGAACACGCTTTTCTGCGCTTTGGAGGATCACTCTAGTGATATTTTCGCCAAATATTGACAGTAAAATGCTTAGTAGTCGACTCCAATGTGATGGTAACTTATTATAAGTTTCATCAACTTGCACGATACCCGAGTATTCCTCTCCAAGAGTTTGAAGGTCCTGTAGTGTAGTCAGTGATCTATATATTAAGGAAGACAGTGGTATCGCCTTAGATACATTTCTTGCTGACATCAATCTTGATAAAGATTCGGCAAGTTGTTTTTCGTAAAGATCATCTTTTTGCCATGATCGAAGAACTTCTGCGGGTTGCGCTCTTGGTAATGCCATATTGACGGTTTCAAAACATTTGCAATATAATAACCTACAGATGTTTTAAAACATTTTCAGTTATAATGCGATTCTTACTGCAAAATAAGAACTTTAGCGTGATTTACGACGAATTGATAACAAATACACGGCCAATCAAAGGTCAATGTGAAAATGACAATTTGGTTTGGTAATGTCAACTGTCAGCCACTCACTGCATAGCTTTTTGAGTTTAGTTCCGAGTCTTTTTAGGAGGATTGCATTTTTAGCTGACTTCAAATAAAGGAGGTAAGTTCTTAAATCCACTTGTTTTTTATGGTGTCTTTAAGCAAACAATTTAAAGTAGGGGTAAAATGGGATGAATAGGGTTTGAGCGGAGAAAAGGGACAGAAGAGGGGTGAATAGATATAAGGAAATTCTTCATAGTATCGATTCGCCCCTCTTCTGTCCCTTTTCTCCGCTCAAACCTCTCGATCCCTATTTACCCCATAGTGTTTAAGTGTTAGACAAAAATGTACGGTTAGACAAAAGTGTACGGTAGACAAAAATGTTGGTTAGATCATGGGATAGTGTTTAAACACTATTTTTGTTAATGTAATTTGTATCTACATTGTATTGACGTGACAACGTCTTATAAATTGGTTTGCCGGGTGACACTTCAAGAAACTGCGTTACGCTCCGCTCACGTTATTATGCGCTCACAATGAGAGCGAGTGACTTCCACCTTCCACTCGGGCATGGTTAGCCCGCCTAAGAGCGAGAGAGACAGACATAAAAAGTTGTTACTATTATTTCATCCTTCTTCCTACTATACGAATGAATATTCACATTAAAATTATTTTACCACTCAAAGTCGTTGTCACATAAAACTTTCACCCATATACCGACTTTACAGGCAACCAATTTTTTTTATTCTCGAATAATAAAACCACTCCATTCTATTCAGTAGAAATGTTTATTTGTCTTAAACCTATCAGAGATTACACAAACAGTAATCTAAAATCAGCATCCGTCATTAGAATCACCAAAAAGTTCACAGTTCAAAGTTCAAATGCAATTGTAAATGTCCGTTACACCTTTATGATTATTTATTTAAACCACCATTTATGAGAAGAATACATCAACGGCATGGGGTCGTCTTGCTCGCCCTGTATGGGGTCTATGTTCCCACCAGGTGCGTGGGTGTGTGTGTCAGAAGAAATGGCGGTATGTATGTGGATGTGTTTGTCAGGTGCGCCTGCGCTTGGCTGGTGTCGTTGCAGGAGGAGTTGAGGTGTTAGCCCTTCTGCGTCCACGACGCGATCCGACATCTTCGTCTATTAGTGGAGAGTCCCATGCTGTTGGTGAAATAGCTTATTAATATCAAATCTCTAGATAATCTAACATTCTTCTAATGAATATCAGGAAGGCAGACAGGTCAACACATAAACAATAAAACAAGAATTACCACTTTTCATCAGTTGTAATGAGTCCATTTTAGAAGTAAACCTTATGCCACGCACAAAGTGCTTTGAGCTAGGATTTACAGCCCTTACTTCGCCAATGAGGCAGTAATAAAAAAATATGAAATAAATGAAAATAATATTATCTAACCTGCAACTGAGCTAACTTTGGTCTTTGGAACTTTTTCTCTTTGCGATGTTGACTTTCTACTGCTCGAACTGTCCCGCGGGCCTGACGCGTTTGAGTCACGAGAATCTCTCCTGCGATCTGTAGAAAATTAATTAACAACATTAGTATAATATAAGATTTGTCAACGCTAGACTATAGGGCCTTACAGAACCACTTAGTTTTTAGTTATGGAACAGTTTTATTTAACACATATAGCCCCAAGCAGTCATCGGTGACCACTCTCCACTAACTACATTATAGACTTTATTTCCAATGTTTTGACTACTTTTGTATGAACAAATTTAGGGGATGATTTTCAACAGATTAAATTCAGAATGGAAGTTGATAGAATGTGGATAGCCATAGAGACACTAATATTTATTTTTTGCGGGCTGATATTACCTTTATGTTGTAGAAGAAATGATCTGTTGAATGGGACCTGAGACCTTGAAAGTACCAGAAACTAAAATGCCTTTTTTTAGCTTGTGTATATCATAGCGATGACGAACGAAAGCAACGAAAAACGAATCTTACATCCACCTATTTATTAGAGACTAAGTTTAAAGTATAATTCTAGTTGTAAGTGTGGGAGAGCGGTACGAATGGGTCAGCTTGACCGGAATGATACCATTGCCGGTAACGCACTTGTAATTCCTTAGTGTTTCAGATGTCCATGAGCGGCGCCGATTACTTACCATCAGGTGATCCGTCTGCTCGATTACCGGCTTATGCCATAAAATAATACTAATATTAAGTTTAGCATTCTCACCATAATCTTTTTCCGACTTGATGCTGGGTGTATCAGTCGAGGCATGGGAACTGCCACTCTCTTTGCGTGTTTTAGTGGCCAGTGCGCTCACACTGTCCTTACGGCTGCCTGGTCAAGTAACTAACATGTTAAATACATATTTTTAGATATTTTTGTCACACCATTTTTTTGAACATACTATATTTCTAATTATCATAATATTGCTCAAACTATGTCAAAATAAGGACTACTTTAGGATGGTTAAAACAATGATAATGGTGATGACAAGAAAAAATGTCAAGACACAAAATTAATATTAATAGAACAAGAGGTTTGATAGACCTCGGGAAGGCATTAGAAAGAAAAATTAATAAAACAAACTTATAATAAAAAAATACCCAAACAAGAACAAATGTAATAAACCTCCTTGCTACACACCACTAACTACAAACACCACAAACCAAAAATTACAAATTGATAATGGACTGTTTCTACCTTTGGGTGTACTATCTTTAGACGCAGTGCCCCTAGAACTGCTTCTAGGTGTCGAAGGCTTAGGTGAAGGGCTCCTCCCATCTAGATTTTAACATTGCAATGCATTATAAGCTTAAAATATACGCCACTAGAATCAAGGTACTATGTTACCAAACATTTTAGTGGCAAGCTTTTTTAAATATAGAACAAGATAGACCATAAACTACCTTCACTATCGTCCGCTAATATAGCCTCCTTACATTTTTGTTTCATTAGTGATCCAAATTCGGTCTCTGGTAAACTAAACGGTATTTCATGATTCGGAAATGGTATTGGCTCAGTATCTTCCAATAAATTTAAATCATACAGACTTTCTAAATGCTTCCAAATATCTTGCGTTGATATCTCTTTGGTGATGGAATTTGAGAGTTTTTCCCAAATACATGCCATGTGAAAATGTTTGTTTATGCCGACCGGCTTGTGGTTAGCCATGGCATAAAACAACTGAATCTCCATATCGACATCCCATGTTAGCGGGTCATTCGGTTTCACCTCCGGTTCTTCTTCGCTAGAAACCATTTCACTGGACTAATTATCACACTTTTCACATTAAAATGCTATATTAACCTGCAATAATCAATGAAAATTCACGGAAATACACTGTGTTTACAGCTTGTCAATAAAAAATGTCTGTCGACAACCTCGCCAAACAAAGACTCAGCATCCGCAATGGGTTTGACATTGACAATGACAGTCGTTAGTTTGACATTGACATTTTAACAGTACCCCAGAGACAATGTATTTTTTTACCATCCAAGAAAAAGAAAATCCTATTCAAATAAAGTACCGTTTTGAAATCTCGGAAATAAGTATTGATTAGTTTACAGTAGAAACTGCCTGGAAAGGACAATACGCTAAAACGGGGTGAATCGAATTCGAGGGTTGAATAAATGATAGGAATATTCTAACATTTATAGATTCACCTTATTCCTGTATCTATTTAGCCTGTTTAACAGTAATAATCTTGCACGTAACTGCGGCGCTGCCCGTTACCGCCCGTGTTATCGGTCATAAGCACTACCCTTGGCACTACCGATAATATGACATTAATATTTATTAGGTTTAGATTTTCTGCGTGTCCAATAAAATCATTTTTTAAAGGAATATGCTCTTTTCATGAAGGTAGTATTTTGTAGGAGATATTGTTAACTGCGTCAGAATTTAGAGATTCCCATCTAACTAATTATTTATGTTTGTATGTCAAGCGGGACCGATAGCTTACCGTGACTTCCGAAGCACGGAATGGGCAATTGGTAATGGTAGCTTGTATTAGAAACTATCAAATAAAACGATACATAATATTTACTCTTATATTTCATCCATCGTTCACAATTTTCTTAAAAGTAATTAAAACTAATGAATACATTACATACAATGTACTTTAGGAGTAAAACAATGTGATTACTATGTATGAATGAGGTACAAACAAAGTACAGTCAACGCCAAAATTATGACAACACGTAAATGCCATTTGTTAGTAATAAATAAGTTCAACATTTAATCGTGACTTTCTTACGTCATCGGATTCATCAAATTTGGCTAAGCAGTTTAGGCATTAAAGGGCAAACTCAAGACTCGCTTCATTGATAACATTGAGTAAAGATTTATTTACAATTTGTTTATCTAATCATAGCTTTCCTGTGTAGTTATTTTTACATTTGATAAACAGGTTTAAAAAGAATACTTAATTCAATCAAGGGTTATAATGATAACCAAGTACTGTACAAAATAACAAGTAAAATCAACTAATAACTATTTCAATCTACTAGTTATCTATCAAAATAACAGAACAAGGATATCCAACAAAACATAACAAGGATATCCAACAAAACATAATGACATCATCGTCTTAGTAAAGGCGTGCGAAAGAGAGCGACATACTTATGAAATGTTACGTTCAGGTTTAATTACCATAACATAACACTTTTTATCACTGAAGAGGTAGGCAGAGGTGCACATTACGGCACTGTACAATGTAACACCCAGTTTTAAGTATAATAGCGGGTGAGCCTATTGCCATATAGCGGGCACAATTCCATACACCGTGCAAATACTGAGATAAAAAAAACAGTAATACTTTGCCCGACTCAGGAATTGGACACGAGACCCCTTGCCTGGCAGTCGCACTTGCAACCACTCGGCTAACGATGCAGGTTTAATTACTACATTTTTAACAACCAATTTCGATGCTAGTTTTGCTTTAATTGATGGTTTATAAAAATGTACAAAATCTAATACATTTAGGAAGCTATACATTTATAGTCATTTAGCACATGATTGCCGAAGCCAACGATACATTACATTACATATGCGTAATTTCTTTACTAGATGGTAAAGCGCGGATATACAAAAGCGCTCATAGATTTAGATGGACGGTGCATAGAACATTATATTTTTTTTCAAAATAGGAAGACCAAAATCATCTTAATAACATGGCATAAAACACTTTATTACTTAAGCATCAAAGTAGAATATTGTATAAGAATCTACGACCGACCGACTTAAAAATAGTAAATTGAGCAATAAGCAATAGTTATGTCATTTATTTAACTACATTCTTTATTTATAACACCTTAAAAATGTAGTGGATAACACAACAGCATTAATAAGTATCATGTCTAGAGAAAGATGAAATCTCTGTATTGATTTTGGTAACTGAGACCATATAATTATGAAAGAGCTTTTACAATGCTCAGAGCCGTATTTTCTCTAAGGCAGTCGCGGAGAACCTAACGGGTATCGACATGCAGGAGAAGGAACGGGGTTGTTTTTAGTCTGACACCCTCCCGCCTCACCCAGGCGGGAGCAGTCATTCGATAATTTCCCCCCTTTAAAAAAACCCTAAGGCAACCCCCCCTTTTCGAGACGGGGGGGAGAATCATCCAATACATGTAGGAGTAGGACGGGGTGGTTTTTAATCAGCAAGAAACTGACAATCCCTCCCGCCTCACCCAGGCGAGAGAAATCATTGGTATCCCACTTAAAAAGACCATCAGATTAGAGTAAAGCCAGTCGGATGAGATCATTATACTGTTTCACTTCTACTACCAACAGATAATGGGACGACAATCCGAAATACCGGAGAGGAATGATTTTTAAAACTAGTCTAAAGTCTATAGGGTAATAATAGGGGCTACTGTACTTATACTTACTAGATGGCGCTAGTGTGCTTCTATTATTTTTCGACCAATAGGGAATTAGCTAGTGTCACACCATTGGACTTTTAATATTTGACAACTGTAGTGATTGGAGAAACACTCTTGTTACATTTGCACCTTTTGTTGACCAAAAAAAAAAAACAGTAGCCCCCATTGGAACGGGGTGGTCGTCAGTCAGTAAGTGTTTGTCACTCCCTCACGCCTCACCCAGGGCGGGAGGAGTAATTTATTGATTTTCCATACTCACAAGAAAAACGTACTAGGCAACTATTTAGATTTCGACATAATACCGAAACTTGTAAAAATATTCAACTTCATTTACTATTCAGATAGAAAGTAGACTCTTGTCTAACATTACGTCAACAAATTTTGTACTAGCGAACTATTGGATTTCAATTCCTTCTAATAACAAGTTTAATTGACACCATCATCATTGCGCTAAATATATTTTTCTATATATTTTACTAATTACTTTATATTAACACATTGGATGCCGTGTCGGACAATGATGTCCGACGCTAGCGGAGGATTAATTAGCCTTTAACAGTTTTTATAGGCAGTTATAGGCTTAACAAGCATTAGCAATCGTGTACCAATTATTTTAGCATTCTCTAAACCAGGGCTGCCCAAACTATAGACTCTCGTGGGCTAATTAAATTTCTAACAAAAGCTTTAACACTGTATTCTTTACTCACAGACTAAAATTGTATACAAATCATACACTGACTTATATTAATGTTGTTGAATATAAGATGAAATGTGTCGAGGGCCACATAAAACCAAGCGCGCCATAGTTTGGATAGCCCTGCTCTAAACCATCGAGATGTTTTTGGCGTTGACTGTACTTTTTATGCAAATTGTAATAGAAAGTTATAGTCATAATAAAATTATTAAAATAAAAAATGGAATATGAATTTATTGTAATGTTGAGTGATCGTTTATATCAAATATATAAATAAAACTGGAAAAAGTGAGGAACCTCGTTCTATGTGACTATCGCCCGAATACTGAAACTACTCAATATTAAATTATACTTAAATATCGTGTTATCTCTATTATTTAACAAAGACTTTATAGTATCAGAACTATACTTAAGCGCGGCTTATTAAGGGGCTGAATATTTGGACATATATCTTTCTACTACATTTTGCACATTGACTATCATACAATAGAAATCACTATAATAGCTTACGTCACTACAAACGAACGTAACAAGTGTCAAATCTCACTGGTGGTGCTTAAATGAATTTGTCACATTATTAAACGAAATATTTTAGATAAAACAATGAGATAATAATATTATACCTATTAAATTAATTATATTTTACGGCTGTAAATGTTTGACGATGTATTCACGCAATTCCACAGATGAGCCTTAGGCATGAGCCCCTAGTATAGCTCGAAATTAGTCGAGTTATCTCGTCAACTTTCAACAGTCGTAAAATAATTAATTTATGTAAAGATTATTTAAGAATCCTGTACAATAGCTTATTAGGAAGACAGACTGAGAGACAGAAGGTAAAAAATTTGAAATCGAGTTGAAAAACTTCTTGCATGTATACAACAGGGATTCAATTTTTCGCCGGAATTTTGTGCAGCACAAACAAATTTTTAATTAAGTAAACTCAAAAAGTTTTACAATCTTTCAAGTAAAAAATCAACGACACCACCAACTTTTCGAAACATTCTTTTATAGTTGACACAATATATTAGGCGTTTTTAAGCGTGTTTAGCTAACGCGTGTTTGTGTTGAATATATTATCACAATATATTAGGCTTATTATGTTAATACAAAGGCTATATATAGCTTTTGTATGAACATGTACCCGGTGTAAGTGACACATACTCTTTCCAAAAGTTCTTAATAAAGAATGTTCACGTTCTTTTTAAATATTGTGTAACTATGAAACCCTGTACGATACGAATTGATTTGTATACTTACGTTCAATTTCAATAATCTATCTATCTGTAGATTTGCTTACTAGAGATAGAAATTTGACACATTTTGTATGGAGCTCATGTCAAAATTCTATCTCTAGTAAGCAAATCTACAGATAGATAGGTTATAGAAACTGGACGTTAGTGCTGTCGTACAATCAAAACTGGCCGAAACATATGTGTCTAAGTAAAGTTTTAATGACTTGCACTTTTCATACAAAATTAACGTTGTACTGTGAAATCATAGTACAGAGTCTTGTACATTGTATTTTTTAAACATAGTGAAAGGTAGTATATAGGTAATAGTCAATATTAGTTAAGCTAATTGAAGATAGAAATGTGTTGGTAATTTCTTAACTGCTTAATCCCCAAGCGGTCACTGGTTCACTCCACTATAGACTTTATTTGCGAAGTTTAGAGACTACTTTTGTATGAACAAATTTTGGGAATATCACTGTAACATTCTCCATTAAGTATGTATTTAACCAGCATATGAGTACTTACAAGTTTCATTTAATTTGGTTCAGTAGTGTCATTGATTTTTGATATGAAAATTTTATATGGAAACCCGTTCTGCATAATGGCTTTTAACTCTTTGAGTACCGTCACTATAGACACAATTAAAGAACAATAGGTTGCCGTCACTGGTATCCTCGCGGTGTTTGACAGTTTAAAATACCTTTATTCAAATGTGACCACCAGTGTGATTAGACGCTTAGTGTAAATCTCATACTCCTGGTATGAGACCAGGTTTCCGACCCGGCCATGCTTCTTTGGCATACTTCTTCTTGCGAGGCTCGCTTGATGGACCTGCTTCTTCTGGAGCTAAAAATGATGAAAAGGAATTTCGTTACATATTTGTTTTACAGTTTTTAATTTAATTGCATAATTAAACTGTATTATTAGTTTTTTCAGGATGAAAACAGAAAAATCTGCATAATACATTGCTCGAAGTTGAGGATTTTTTAAAAATAATAATTTATTTATTCAAAATAAAGAAGTACACGTTGTACAATCATGACACTAATCTAGAATTCATGAAGACATTTAGTATATAATTATGTTCAATGACCCCCATGCTAGGAAAACCTGAGTTACAGGGGTCATCCCACCGTCCGTTAATTTAAATAACGGAAGTTAAAAATTTAATCCATTTGTATGGCAGTCACGCTTGCGACTAATCAATCAACAAGATTGCTTGCTAATCAGAAATTTTTAGTTCAGAAATAACATAACATTACGTGAACAGAAGGCGTGATGATGTTATGTATATAGGCAGAGGTGCGCATTACGGCACTTAATGCCACTGTACAATGTAACACCCACTTTTCACTATGAGTCCCATGTAATAGGAATATACCAGGACAATTCCAGACTCCGAGCTACTACTATAATTTTTTTTTAAAAACCCAGTAGTACTTTGCCCGCCCCGGGAAACGAACCCGAGACCCCTTGCCCGGCAGTCGCACTTCAGAAAGAGTTCAGAACTAATAACAAAATATTACAAGGTCATTGCAGGAAGTATGGAGTTTTTCTCTTTCCTGCTATTCCCTGCATTGCAGTGGTATTTCAAAGCAAATTAACGTGAATATAATTATAAATACTAAGTTACCTGTATGTGGTAGAGGTGGATGTATGTTGAGGTGTGGCTCCGGACCTTCGAGTTCCACATCAGGCGCGGGGTTCGGTAGCGACAGGCCCAGTCTGCAAGGAAGTTATTAAGTTTATTTTAAGTAACATTTACAATTATTATTAGGCCCAATTACACTCCTCCCGTCTTCCCTTATCTCCGGTAACACAGATGTAACGTATCCAGTGTTCCAGATGTCCATGGTCGACGCCGATTGCTTATCATCTGGTGATCCGTCTGCTCGTTTGACGGTTTACACCACTGACAAACGGTGAAGAAAAACATCGTAAAGAAACGTAGGCTTATAATTTCTAATACTAAGTTTAAAATCGCCAGTCGTCTTGAGCAAGCGTGGTAATTAATGCTCTAACCTTCTCCGTGTGAGAAGAGGCTTTGCTCAGCAATGGGCTGTCGATGACGATATCGCATGTAATATACTACATAAATATGTATTGTTCATTTACCTAGCTCCAATGAGACTTAAGTGTGAGCTGGGTGCAGGCAGGTCGGAGTACAAGGTGTTACCTCTTGATATCTCCTGCAGCCTCAGTGAGTGGTGATGTTGATCTGCAATACATACATTGTCATAAAAAACTTTATAAATATTAACTTTCACTAACAACTAGGAAAATATTTAGTTTATATTCCGCTGAAGGAATGAATTTGCGGCATGCAGTATGCAGTACCGCGCTCCCGCCCGTAGTTAACGCTCATGCAGTGGAAATGCGACCACTTTCGACATAATAATATGTTTCGCTCCTCCACGGAGCATCCTCAGGAGTTGGTGACTTGGCTCTGACTCCAATACTAGAGCTTCGAGCCGCGGTAATGAAGCATGAATTTCCGCCAAGTAGTCCCTGATTATATTCTATAAATGTTAACACTGGCAAAACATACAGCATTTCGAAGAGTTGCACCAGGAATAGACCTGGAGGTCTACTCCGATTCGACGAAAAACGAAGTTTCGGACGAAACTTCAAAGATTACCTACCACAATGACATATAAACGAACGAAAAAGGAATGAAACAAGCCAGAAATTAGTATGAGATGTACTGTTTGACGTCGATATTTTCGGAACCCTACTCTGGTTGTACAATCCGCACGAACGAAAATTCGAGTTTGACAGATTATTCTTCGGACGTTTAATGTCATTTCGACGAAACCAAAATAGTTATCGTTTGATTTTCGTTTGGGTTAAATTTTATTAAAAAATCAATGAAAGTAATTGCAAGTCTTCGTTTTATCACGGTTTCTTCGTGTGGGCAACACGTAGGTCACCAAAGAAACCATTTAAATGACGATATAAAATCAATGTACAGTCAGCTCAAATAGTTTGTTAACACGAACCTATATAATTTTACATGTCTATGAGAGTTAATAACATTTAGGGTAATTAAATACTTATTTGAATACCTTATGAATTGTACATAAATGTTTCATGTGTAATGTTTTATTATAAAACGAATAATACTGCTAGAAAAATAAACTTAAGTATTGCTAGTACATATTTTCGCTATTCTTTCACATAGATAAGATAAATTCTTTCAAAAATATATTGTTAACCATCATAACATGAAATAATTTAGTGTCTTCAAATTCCCATGTAGACATTTATAATTTTTAACTGACTGTACTCATTAAATACGAATAAATTTGGTTGTCATTATTTTTATAAATAAATGTCAATAAATGACAAAGCCAACATTCTTAAACTTTTTAACTTGGTCGTATAATAAATCTTTAAAAGGAGGTTTTTATCCTGTTTAGGATTTTCCATCTTAAACATTAATATTAAAAGCTTATTCATGATTTTCTTGATGATTATGTGTGCTAAACTATGGCATTATCATTTTAGTTATATAATTACTTAAAATAAAATTTTATTTTTAATTTCGAATCTAAACCTTTTTATTGCCTATTTATTAATAATTAATAATTAATTTAATAATAATTTATTTATTCTTAAGCACTTAATACAATATATCAACAATAGTTTGGCTACAATATTTTTACAGGTATATGATTTTAGCTTCTGTAGTCGAACTAGGCATTGCCTGTATTTCGACTATCAGTGCCCAACCCTCAAACGTACAGATAATTTCAGCCTTTCCAATGTCAGTTATACAATATTAATTTTTGTTTTAAGAAAAATAACAAGAATAAGATAAAAAGTAATAACATAATAATTAATACAGAAAATTACTACAAGATAAATAATAACAATAACAAAAGGGACTTTCTCAACGCAGATATTAACTATTTTGGCCATTATGTGTAAGTGTGTGTGTGTGTGTGTGTGGTGTGTGTGTGGTGTTTGTGGGTGTGTGCGCGCTTCTGTTTATCTCACATTAATTTGTTCAGTAGTTGTTCAGTTTCCTCGTAATTTAGTTTTTGTAGATATTTTTTTAGTTTTATTTTACATTCTACTTTGGTTAGTGGGTAGATGTTTAGGATTTTATTTAATTTGTTGTATAAGTATGGTCCAATGTGGTCAGCAAATCTTGAAATGAAATTATTTTTACTTTGTTGTGGAGTGCTGCATACCTTGTATCGTCGACGTTTAGTCAGCTGTTGGGAATTGTAGACCAGTTTACCGTGTTGTAGAAGAGTAGTATTCAGTATGAATAACTGCCGAACAGTAAGGACATCACAGATTTGATATAAAGAAGTCGTCGGGTGGTAAATTGGTTTTGCAATAGCAACCTTCAGCACAGCACGTTGAGCAACTTCAAGAGATTTCATTGTGGTTTTGTATGTTCCTCCCCAAGCTGTGATACAATAAGTTAAAACTGACTGACATAACGCGAGATATATTTGCTTTAACAATTTAGCTTCAGTAATGTGTCTCAGTCTTTTGAAGATATACATGAGTTTTCGTGTTCTAAGGCACACATGTTTGATGTGTTCTTTGAAGCTAAGCCTAGAGTCTATGACAATGCCAAGATATTTTATCGATTCAGTTCGTTCTAGTGATGGGCACTGACAAATATCCTCAGAGGAACACGCATGCAGTATGATATTATGGTTATTGGGGGGTGCATAGTTTTGTCTAATACTGAAGCACATATATTTAGTTTTATCTATATTTAGGGTCAGTATGTTGTCTTGAAGCCATTCCTTCACGGAGTTTAGGCCACGCGGCCACGCTATTTATCTTCACTTCATTCGTTCATTGTAGAATTCATTCGTTCACGAAAGTTGTCTATGGTTCCGAAAACGTTGTTTGCGGCCGCAAATCAAACGAAACTTCGCATTCGAGAACCGGAGTAGACCTCCTGTTAATTCCTATTAAACTGTCAAACACCAAGCGGTCACCGGTGACCGCGACCTATTGTTCTTTAATTGTGTCTATAAAACCGGTACTCGACGAGTTAATTGTGTCTATAAAACCGGTACTCGACGAGTTAAACCATAAAATTATTCTAGAGTACCTAAGGAAAATATAATAGTCAAGTAATGTAAAGGGTACGATGGGGCTGACATATCTGTGATAAAAGCCCCAAAAAAGTTTGTTAGAATAATAATAAAAAAAACATAATTATACTACATACCAAGCAATAGAAAAATGTTTCAACTTACTGTCATCAGAGCTTTGTAGCTTCAACTTCCTAGGAGTACTATTAGGATTTGGCACTATAGTAGACTTGACCAAGTTCCTGAACCGGCCGATAGTGGGGTCAATGTCCTCTGGGTTGATGATGTCCACCTCCTCGTTGAAGGAGACATTCCGTTTTTGTTTCTTGGCTATACCACCCGGCATTGACGCTGATCTCTTAGTACCAGTTGGAGGCTGAAAGAGATTACAATAAGGATGATGACAGGGTATGAAAATTAAAAAACTAATTAGTCCGACAGTTAGGTACTGAAAAAATATCAGACACGTATTCTTTTATTTTGTCGTATATTAAAACAATATTTAGATAAAACGAATCAAAGTTAAGTATAAAATGTACATAGAAGTGACGTCACGCGACATTTCAAATCAATATATCATCGAAAGTATTCGTTTCTGAAAGAAAATGAAAAATACGTGTCTAATGGTTTAAAATAATCTACCAGACGGACATTAAAATAAAAATTAGACATCTACCCTATTTTATTAGATCTTTTTGATCCATAGTTTTATAGAGGACAGTTATTATTTAAACAACTACCTTCTGCCCGCGTTCCCGTGGGATAAAAAGCCTATATGTTATTACAGAACATAATCTATCCCTGTTCACAATGTCATCCCAATCACTTCAGCCATTTTGATGTGATTGAGTTACAGCCATACGCACAAACTCAGAAACTATCGCATTTATAATATTAGCCTGTTGAAATATCATCCCCTAAATTTGTCCATACAAAAGTAGTCTCTAAACATCGGAAATAAGGTCTATAAATGTAGTTAGTGGAGAGCGGTCACCGGTGACTGCTTGGGGATACATGGGTACAAGATAATTTCATATGATAAAGTATGAATTAAAACTCTTTAGCGCTCACCTTCATAACATCACTGCCATCATCAGTAGATATACCCAACATGGATATTCTTCGGTTATGTGCTGTGTTGAATTCTGTTAGATTCTGAAATTAAAACATTATTTCTTAGCTAGTTATATACATATTAGTTGTATGTATCAGAATATATTTATTAAGAAATTAAAAAGAAAAAAATACACTAGTGGCCCGGTTCTTTGCTCTCAAGTCTAGATCAGAACACAATGGCATGTGTTAATTAATTTGGCTCTCTATAATTTTACTTTAAAATATTCTGTATATAAATTCCATGTAAGAGATAGTTTATTTTATCACGGTTTAAATTTTATGATGAAATCGTTATCATCAGCCCGTGTTCGTCCACGGCTGGACATAGGTCTCTCTAGGGGCAGGCTACAGAGGTCTATTGTTAGCTCTTCTTATTCAACCACTGCCAGACATGGCGGATATCGTCATCATCACTACTAGCTGTAGGGCGCCCTACACTATGTTTATCTAGACATGGTTTTCGCTCCCGAACATGTTTGGTTTTACTGTAAAAACATTGCCCTACACTAGGATTTTCTCCTGTGACGTGGGTGCGTTCACATACACATGATATGCAGACCCGAAACAACAGTTTGAGGATCACACAAAGAGTTGTTCCCAATTTTATTACGGGGCAGTTAGTTGCCCAGTCACCACACGAACCATGCAATAGTTTACCCCTATGATCATCATCAGTCAGTTCTTCAACTATTCACTAAATGTGACTGGCCCACTGCCACTTTAACTTGCTAATCTTATAGGTAATGATTATAATATTATAAAATACTCACATCTAATTCAGTTTGTGTTTCAGGCAGACCCAGTAACGCACCTTCTTGTTCTGTGTTGGGCAAGTCCTCCATTATACCTCGGGAGTTGCCCGTCGGTCGTTCTCTGTAGACACAACATAACCATTATTTAGTTAACAGTAATTTATTTAAAATACTCTAAAATTACATTTTTAAATACTACGTATAAAATAAAAAATAATATTTAAAGGTATATAAAAATAGGAGCCGACCAGTAGCAGGATCATGGTCCACGCTACCAATGGATTGGGCTTCAGAGACAGAAACCTCCTCACTATACATGCCGTTTCAAGGAAAACTGCCTTCTGTATCAGGCCCTTTATACATCCACTTAACGCCAGTCTCGCCACTATAAGATGAATGTCGAGGCTTTTAGAGATTAACCCATTGGCCGACACGACTATCGGTACAATTAGTGCTTCAGTTGTTCTCAAGATTAGTACTTAGCAACATATTTAGCTATTCATTTTTATAATACAGATTAATAATACCACCATCATCTAAACCTATTGTATTTATAAATATTGTAAAACAGAATAACAAATTGAGTGTTGAATATTTTTTATTATAAACTAGCTGTGCCTGCAACTTTGACCTGTGAATCACTATTCCATGTGGAAGACATGGAATAGTGATTCACAGGTCATCCCCCGTAGCAGTGGTGATAGTGTGACAATATGTAGCCTATATGTTGACCCGACCTCATAGTAATATTTATACAAAATTTTAAGTATATCCATTAAGTACTTTTAGCGATTAGCCCAAACATACAGACACACAGACGAAAATTTAAATCCATATTTGCTTTGATATTGATTGTAGATCATTCCCTAAATAATCTTTTAAAAAATTAGATAATGTACATCACTCTCCTATGATTTATCATTATGTATAGATTAATAAATGTAGGCTGCCTACATGCAGCGCATTGTACAAAACTTTTGAAAATACTATTAACATAATAATATTGCAATTTTAAAAACATCATCAGATACACAGAAAAATAAGGTGTGTCCATACATTACCTTATTATATAATTTCTTGTGGAAGCCCCAAAATGGAAATTAGAATCTATAGGCAGCTGCGTTGGCTTGTTTGGTTCCAAGCGCATTTGTCCAATAAATGTCCCATGAGCTAAAACAATATCATTATACAATATTTAAATTTACACAAACAAATCTTATACTGTTATATAACGCTCAAGAGTTGGTTTCAACATATTATTTTCCAGAACTAGTGGTTTGAATGAAATAATTTTTCTGTGTCTGTGGATGATCCATTTATCGAAGGAGGTTATAGGCTATAAAACATTACACTACCATCTATACATGCCAAGCAGAGTGGAAACGGCGGTTAGTGAAACCATTATTTTGAATAATGATATCATAGGATTCATAGGTAATCACTTGAGATTCATTAAACAGGTTTCATATCAAACAGAAATCAAGCTCTCAATAAGGATTTGTATGGTATACCTGTATGTCAACTAAGAATTCATATTGTACCTCTGGAAAAATATCTAACGGCTACAACATACAGGAGTAAGCCAGGATCTGCAGTAGATACAACCATGAAAACACCCGAACACTGAAGTCCGACGCGTCTCAGGGCCATGAACTGTCTTAGATCGCGTAATAAAATAAATAAGTAAATGCTTTATTAACTTACTGCTGCCTAAGTCAACTAAGAATGCTCTGTTCAAGTGTTTGTGGTAAACAAACGCAGCATGCACCCTCGAACAACTGGCATGGTCAATACAAAAATCGTTCATCTGAGGGTTTCTACCAAACAAATAACACTTCTTCTCATCAATCATCAGTTTTTGTATCAATTTATCCCCTTTTAATACATCCAAGTGTAGTCCAGTCGGTGGTTTTCCAGCCCTAAAAGAAAGATAAAATTTATGACCGGCGTACTATAACTGAATAATATGCCTCACAACCAGGATTTCCATGGGATCTCTTACCAATTGGGCACTTCATAATGATTAGCCATATCTACTTTCAGAAGGCCAGCTTTAATTAAACAGATTTATTCAACATTAGGATGCGATAAATAATTTTAACACCGAACGAACCACAACGCGAAGTCCATGCGAAGTCGCAATCGTATCGTTGTCAAATTTGACAGTAAAGAAATGGAATGACATAACGACATAACGCATAACAAACATTATTTCTTGTCTATGATATCTTGTCATGCATGGCATTCGATTTGGAAAATCGAGCCCAAAGAGTATAATAAGTATAGGGGATATCGAGCCCATGACGTGAAAGGTGAACATGGAAGATTGCCTATCAAGTAAAAACAATAAAATCATGAAAGATAAACTTCGAAAACCCACTTGTGAAACAAGCCTAAACTATTAAATTTACCTCATTCTTCGAAAGCTAAGTATAGCTTTCTAAGAAGGGTAACCAACCGTTTTTGACAGGATGTTGCTTTTAGATGTAGATACTTCCAATTTAGTGGATTTAAAAAAAAACATTTCTGATTAGGTAGGAGCTATTGAGACTCACGTAACCCTTAAACGAGTGTAAAAGCTCGGTTGTCATTTTGTTTAGGACGTTTATTGTGAATTTTACACACAGACTTATAAAGACAAGCAGACTGAACATTAACTATTTGTGACACCAAAAACACACATGCGCAAAATAGATTAAACGGGGCCGGAGTACGGTCGGCATTAGAAATAAAGGACATAAGTATATAGATTAGGGACCTATATAGAAATAAGCGTGTTTTTGGGATAAATATTCATAAGTAGGTACCTATTGATTAAAATTAATGTAATGCCTCCTTTTGCTTTGTCGTAGTCGGGTAAAAACAAAATAACCACCAACGATAATTTCGTATACAAATAACTCATGAGGTATATAATGATTTTACTAGGTGTTATTTTTAAGCCGCGTCATTTTTTTAGGAGGTAACTCGGCTATCGATTCAGAGTCCGAATCAATAAAAAAAATTGTAGGTAAATATTTTTTCATTTTTCTAAATTACGGAAATCCGTAAGTGCGAACTATACGCCGCCGTCTTGTATCTAGTTTTATATCGCGGCTTAACACACACAAACTCAAAAACGTAATTGATATCCATAATACTCCAATCGAACCATTGCTGTCGCTTATTCTGAAATACTGTCGAACTTAAACGATTTATTATAGCCGTATTTTTAACTATTGGCCCGAAACTTTCTCTTACATTGAACCTTTATGACTTTTGTGACATGCCCCCGAGAAATGTCACGGTTTCAAATCTACAATTTGTATAGTTAAGTAATATGTTTATCTATAATTTCTAAAGTTCTAGAAATAGTGAAGAGGTTGAAAAGACGTGACATGAAGAAAGTCTCGTGTTTAAGTTCATGGTGTGAATGTAAGGTAAGGTAAAGGTAAGGTAAGAGTAATCGTTAAAAGTTGCTTGTTGTAATAATTTTGTTTAGTTTGTGTGTTAAACTGTTAAACACCAAGCGGTCACCGGTGACCGCAACCTATTGTTCTTTAATTATGTCTATAAATACGGTACTCGACGAGTTAATTGTTTTTTTTTATGGAATAGATGGCAAACGAGCAGACAGATCACCTGATAGTAAGCGATCAGCGCATTGTGAATGCTATGGCTGATGTTCAATGTGTTTTGGACAAGGACACCGCTACTTCTAGAATTGTATTAATTAATGATATTGTATCGCGAGGAGGAAACTGAAACTTGTGAAAGTGCTATTGAGAAATTCCCAAGTCTGTGTTCAACTGTGCAATTCTTAAAAAATGCATAACTAGCCCTAAAGTTGCTAATATTTTTTTTTCTCCTGGTACATATGCCATTGATCCAACCATTCTTAATTAATTCTAAATTTAAATCAACAAATTATTATTATTCTAAAAAGATGCCTAAGATATTCCAAGTTATGTTATTTTATACCCAAACTGACCAGAGCTCACCGTATCAAACATTTGAATTGAATCATGAATACTGGAGGTCTCTAAGTCTTCAGGGATGAAAGATAGGTCAATTTTATCAGTATTTTTAATTAGATGGATACTAGTGTGAGGAAACAGTATAAACGATATGGATACTTGCAAGTGCAAGCTAAAGTATTGCTATAAGTATACCTAAAGAGAGCTGATCACTCTGAATAAGGGTTATTTACCAGGCAGGTGGGAGTTACATTAAGCGAGTAACTCAACCTCATGGCATTACATATCTATAAAAAGTTGGTGATGATTTTGTGTTAATGTAAAGTAATTCTCGTTTATAAACAACCAATTCTACCAACAAGCTATTACTGGTACCAATACTAGAGTTTTGCCGTTTCTTGCAATCAGACGCAGTCTACAAACTATTGAATATATACTGGATCAACTAAGTATAATTTAGATTCAAAGTCAAATAAACAATCGACAGGAACACATAAACAACCTTTAAGTTTGTTGGGAGTGGCTACCGGAATAATGATCTCCCACCAAATTAAAAGTGAAATAGACTAAAATAGTGCTTATGGAATAAAGGAGGTCTCATTCGCTAATAAACATAACAATATTCACAAAAAAATAAAAACGATTGAGATTTACATTCTGGTTATTTTGGTGCAAAAGTGTATTTTGTGGGCATTTCCAAAAAAAAAAATCATAACTTGAGAGACTCGATAAGTCTAAACAATGCCCAAATACCTTATCTAAACATTTCTGTTTTTAAAAACAAGAAACAGATAAATGCTTTTTGATAAAAGCATAGAAACAGGGTGGGCCCTATTTAGTTTGAACGAGTTTAGTTTTAAAAATTATTTAATACGTAGGTATGTATTAAATAATTTTAATATTATCATAATATAGAAAATATCTAAAAGTTTTTATAATAACCGTCGTGAGACATACTAAATTAACTAAAAATCGCGGGTTACTCACGTAAAAATACTGAAAAAACCTCTACTGGTTCCCAACAGAGAGGTTCTTCCTCATGAGCAGGGTGTGCAGTATTGGCGCTTGCGTCGGTGTTGTTCCTTGCGCTGCGAGCCCACCGCGCCATCTCATCACGCGCGTTTGCTTCCAACTCCGGCTGCGGCGCGAAGGTCGATGTTGAAACGCAGTGACCTCACCAGTGGTGCGGGTAGTGGGTTCGATTCCGGGTTAGACACGAAGTCCGTGCTATATACATGCTATATACGCTATGGATCGACGTAGATTTCAAGCTCGGCTACCCAGCGTGTGGCAATGCCCAGCCACCATCCCTGTTAAAACACGGACGTCAGCTAATCTCGATGGCCTCCCGCACTTTCCGCGGTACGAAGTACTTTTTCCTTGCTAGCACGGAGACCTTAAAACATATGAAGTGAGCCGCATTCGTACCGCAAACATGCTCGGCCACTGCCGACGCTTGTATATCTTCTTCACGCTACGTATATGTTCCTTTAGGCTGGTCGTGATGTTGCAACGAGTTTCCCAGATGTAACTCAAACTACAGTCGCACGGTATCATGTACACTCCGAACACAGCCAACTGATCCTTATCTTTAGGTGATCGTAGCAATTGTCTCAGCTGACTGGGTGACCGCTCCGATTGTGTCCGTTACTTCTTTCACGTATGGTAAGAACGCTGGAGTCCGTGCCGCATTTGCCTGTCGCTTCCTACTCGAGCTGCTCGCTAGTCGAGTGCATTGATGCCAGTTATATTGTTTTCCAGTACCCGTTTTAAATGGTGAAATTCGTCGTCAATACACAGAAAAATTACTATTATCGCGGATATTGGATGCCGGATTTATGGAGGATTCTGGGTACAATGTACAATCGCACTGAAAACATCGCAAAAATTCAAGTCAGAGGCATTGATAAATATGATAAAGGATAAACCCATTTATGGGCCTGGCGTTACACGAATGAAATATGTACCAAAAAATCTACTGTTTTGCTTAATTAACTCGTTTAAATCTTTGCCTCAATTACAATGGCCAAGTCTAAAAAAACTACATTTCTATTTTTGTGTTTGTAGCAACCCTTGTAAACGGTTACAGCATTTATTTCATTATACTACTTACTTTATGTCACTTACTTTGCAAACACCGGCATTAATAGAGTATAACCTAAGAATCTTATCGATTTATAGGATATTATTTACAAATTATAATTGAATAATACTCCATTATTTTAGTACGATTGCTTTTTAGATATTGAAATCATTGGAAAATACGAAATGCTGAAATCTAATATTATTTTAAAACGATATCACAATTAAAAAACTACTAATAATAAATCGATTCTATCTATAGAATTTTAAATAAATATATCAAATCGATTGCAACTCGTATTGCACATAGACTGCACTAGAAATGGCAAATGTCGAATTGTCAATGTCAACGTCTGCTTTTCGTATCTTTGCGTTAGTGAATATGTTTTTCGAGTTCTTGAGATTAATAACAATATACCTCTGCTGGAATACTGGACCGCAACTGATTGCCTTCTAACTGACCCTCGCTTGCATATTAGACAAAAAAAGTGGATAGGACAGTCAAAAAATTAAAAAAATAACCTATGTATAAACATTGTCTGATTTTACCAATTTGGCCATTGCAGAGAGTCGTGATCGTGAAAATTGGGCTCGTGAAATCTTCCTAAGTGCTCTAAATTATGGCAAAATTCCAGTTCTGTAACGCCAGGCCCAAGCTTCTAAGCGTTCGGAGTTCCGGTTTCTCCTTTTATCGACAAACCTTAAACAAACTTGCAATACCCGCTACATAAAAATAAATTGCCAAACAAAGGAAATGGATCAAAAAGGATGTCATTTTATCATTGAAACCACTGTCACCATCACAATCGACATGGCTTACGGCGACAACTGAAAATCTGGCCACGGGGAGACCGCACTGCGCGCAATTTTGAAGCCCAAGAGGAAGAGTTCGAGTGAGAAGAAGATACAAAAAGGCATCAAACGATCCATCGCCAGTGGTTCCACCAAGTCACCAGCTGATATTCGCGACTGCAGACATGCAGAAGCAATTGG